CTCGAGTCCCCCCGCCCACTCTGATTTTTCGCAATCCACGTGCATGGGCGGCCGGCTTGCCGTTTTGTGATAGGCCCTCTGCCAAGTCAGTTGACCACCCCCTCCCCCCGGCCCGCCGCGTTTCTTATTTTCCAGTAGCTACCACTTCCCCCCTGAAAAGGGGCTGCAACTCCTACGAATAAAGTTCTTTACTCCATGTAGTCCTCCTTCTCTGCCTATCCATTTGTCCTTTTTGTGCGTGGTCTGTTCATCTTTCCTGCGTCGCAGTTGCATTTCACTTCCCACTGGAGGTTGCGCCTCGGTCCCAGTACTTTAGCAGTTGCCTTCATTTTCCGTAGCTGCTTGCTGTCATCGTGTGCCAATCAACTTCTTACAAACTGACGTCTGGGTAGTGGTGTTTGATCAGTTTGGGTTTCTCTGTTTTTCGCGATGCTGACATACTGGGCTTTCTATCCTTCTGGTGGGCGTGTTTTTCCGTTACTCAACTCTAAGTTAATGTGTTTTTAATGAGGCCAATAAATTGAAGTCTGGGTCGAGGCTGCAGATATCGCCTAAGAGATTCGGCCATTCTTCGTTGGCCTAGTTCTTGGATTGCACGTGTAGATTACCGTCCCCTCCCCTATCAACACGTCGGCTCTTTCTGCCCTGGCCACTGACAACTGAAGAAGCTGGCTAGCCAGTCATCTGATCGTGTCTTCCCCACACGTGGGAGGTTCGATTCACCTGGTAAATTCTGAAGGTCACGCTATTGGGCTTTTCATATCCTTTTCTTTGTCCTTCAAAAGTCCCTCCTCCTCCTTCTCCTCTATTGGTAAAGCCATCCTCTTAGGGATTTGTTACTATGGAATTCCACCAGCTAAACAGTCTACGTGTTTGAAAAATAAAGGGCTGAGCAGGCAGTCGATGGCTGGCGTTTGAAACGGTACGGCCGGACTCATTTTTGAGTAGTCAGTCCAACTAAACATGGTCTGAGTTCTATTAGGATGTATAATTACAAGTCAGAGCAGTTGACCAGCTTAACGGCGTTCGAGGGGAATTCATTGCTGACTATTGCCACGCCGGAGGGTTGTGAGAACTTCCTCTCAGCGCAAAGAGAAGGGAGTGTCACCCTCTTTTCGTTTTCTACCTCCTTTGTATCCCTGCTTGGTGTAGTCGACCCCGGTAACCTCGCGTGCAGGCGGGCCCCCTTTTACCAAACCGTTGGTTCTATTTTTGCGGTAGCCGGCTTTCGCAAACCTGGCCCCGTACACGTTCTATTTCCTTCGCATTTAAACGTGGGCAATCGCGCCTCCGGCCTGTTCCTCCTGTTGTGCACAAACTATTGTGTTAACAGCGTGGAGCTTACGTGTGTGTGTCCGTGTCTCGGGTGGTGTTAATTTTGTTAGCATCTGTCTATGCGGTCTATTAATTACCAGTGTGCATGTGGCAGTGTAGGAGGCCCGCTCCAGCCCGCCTCTCACGCAACCTTTCGTGCAAAGTGATCCCGACCAGC